CTGGTTACCAAAGTAACTGCTTTGACTTCTGGTCTAACCTACCCACGTTGTGATTTAATCTTAGGTAGACGAAATCAATCAGTCGCCGGGTCGTAAAGCAAGCCGAATTCGAGCAAAGGTGACACCGCACAAGTACATGCAAAAGAAAATAAAGTAACAACTCGAAAAGTTCAAATATGTTAAAAAAAGTATAACAAATATTTTTATATCTGGCTGCTGAATGCAGGACTGCATCTTTCTCCCAAACAGCTAATATGGATAAGTGACACATAGCGTTTGTTAGGCGAGTCTTAATATCTTAAGCTGTTTTCGATAACTGTTTTGTTGTATCTTCAGGCGATATTCGTAAAACTTGTTTTGGTGGTGTGAGTCTAAGTCTTTCTTCAAAAATAAATTGTTTTTGGTTAGAAGTCGAAGTCGGAATGCGTGGATCTTCAGTCAGCTTCATGCGAGGCTGGTCTCAGAGGACACAGCTCAACTCTCTCTTCGTCTGCGTCTCTCTCTAACTGCAACTGCAACTGCCGACTCCTCGCTACGACTCTGTTTATATGGACGCCGACCAAAACCGGGTGTGGGCTTGTCGTGGTTTGGGTTCCTCGATAACTCTAAATCCACAATAAGGATTTTCTTTGTTTTCGGACAGGAAAATTTATCACTTTCCATTTTTGGAAGTCTATTACTTTCTGCTTTAGAGGGGTTCTTAAGGAAATCGTCCTCCCAAATTCTTCCTTTCTCATTTTGGTATCTCACACCAATCCTCTCAGAGGGCGTAAACAGGTTTCCCCTCCTTCTCATATGTTTATCTTTGCCCACCGCTCAACTCAGCCAATGACGCTCGGCAGCGCGGGTGTTTACAATTATCGCTCAAATGAAAAAAAATATCTTCCTTTTTTCTTTTCTTTCTTTTCCCTACACCAGAACACTACGACTCGTAGTGTGGTCCTTAATTTCTATCTTAACCGAATGCCATCTGGAATTCATCAACGATATTTTTGCCAGCGTTAAATGGGTGGTTAACTGGACGTCTTCGCACTCTGTCGCCAATTATCTGTCCCGGTAACAAACTTTTATCATGTCCAGGTCTGGACACTAAAACAGGTGGTCTCTTTCCTAAACCAAGTGATATCTCCGAAATATAGTTAATGGTTTATTCTTTTCCTTTCTCTCCCTTTCTCACTGGGGTGGCCTCAGCTGATGCCTTTCTCGGTCAGTGCGTGACCTGATTACTATTATCTTCCAGCTTCTGTTTCGTAGGCCACTTGACCAATTTGATATTTTCATTATTGCCATGGGCAGATTGCTGTTTTTTATTCGCCGCGTCGTAGCATAAATTAATTCCGACAGATCCGAGATCGTACGAATTTCCTATATTCTGTGAAAAAAAATACTTTTCTTCGCAAATGAAAATAAATTCCTGACCACTTTTCTTTGTTAAAAAAAATAACATCGCTCAGTATGTCTTTTCGTGATAGCTTCTTCTCGCCTTAATTATTTGTCGCTTTTAATTTTCACGCGACCGCTAAATAGTGTCACAGATATATGTATCTATATATCTGGGTATACATGTATCTATCTATCTATGGGCGAGTGACCGACATAGAACGTTCACTTTCTGAACATGAGACCATGGTCGATTTGTCAGTAAGGAGACTGTCTGATGTGGGACGATCCCAGCGTGCTGCACCTTTGGAAAGTGCATGAAAAACACATCGGTTTGACGCAAGCCTTTTCAGGGAAAATAGTTATCGGAACACCCGATAGCTGTGCTAGCACGATGTCGCAAGTCATCGTGACAAGATGGTTTGAGTTTGCTGGCCTTGTTTAGATTGTTGATCACGCTAGATAACACGCTCTCTCCCAGAAAATGTAACTAAAGTCTTCTCGGTTGTGCTTTGTGGGTGTTGAACAAACACAAATATGCCTGAGCGAGCGTCTGAATTAAGGATCAGCTAGCCGCCTTAGTAGACGGATTTCCTCGAATACGAGTGGCCTACTCTTAGCTACCTATCTATCTATATGGCCGAGTGGATAGAACGTTGATATTCTGACCATGAAACATACGTCGAATCTCACCATGAACAGGAAGGTGACTTCTTATGCTATCGGTCTGGGAGAGGTGATCCCAGTATGCGGAACGTTAGAAAAGTGCCTAAAAGACTTACTCCGGGGAGACTCAAGACTTGTGAGGGGGCATGGGTAATCAGAGCCATTGGGGCTGTCGATCATAAAAGATTGAGCGTGCTGGCCTTGTTCTGACTATTGATCACAAAAGGTAACTCGCACTATCACGGAATCTATAACTAAGTTCTGCACAACATATTTGCAGTATAAATCACGGGTGGGTCCTCTGGGTGTTGAAAAAGCACTAAGTGGGCGTCTGCAATGGTAATTAGCTAGCCACTATAGCAACGGGCATACTTGGATACGGGTGGCCAGCTATAATTAATCTATCGCAGCGTACACACACACACACACACACACACACATATATATATATATATATATATATATATATATATATATATATATATATATATAGAGAGAGAGAGAGAGAGAGAGAGATAGATAGATAGATAGATAGATAGATAGATAGATAATATTAGTGGAATATATATATATATATATATATATATATATATATATATGTGATTTGTAACCTGGAGTCGATATTAAATTTGTCAAATTTTCTCAATTACAAAGCGGCCCTTTAAGTAAACGCAAGTTTACTTTCCTTCGTCCATCTCTCCCCAACCTCGTCTTTCCCTCCATCTTATTCTAACATTAGATTGTCTATAGTGTTTGTATGTCACCACGAAATGTATCTTTATGCATTAGACATCCGTCAACACTCATTTTTTTCTCTTAATTAAACCCCTTCCACCCATATCTCCTAAAATTCTCTCTGTTATGGTTTAATCTCCCTCCTCCTCATACTTACACTCTTTCTAAATTCTGTTTTTATTTCCGGAGTGGGTTTTTTTTTTTGTTTCTTTTTGAATTTGTAGGTCTGATGAATTGGATCGTATTTACGATTCCAATGGAATAAATTATGACCATGGAATATTAGTGTTTAAGCCTTTTTATTATTATTATTATTATTATATATATATATATATATTATATATATATATATATATATATATATATATATATATTTGGATTGATGTGAGTTTGTGATCCTGGGTTTAACACTATTTGCGATCGTCAGACAAGTTGATTGATATTTAAATTTTGGATTTATATAGAGGTTGCGTTTAACAATGTTTTTATAGAAGTGGGAGGCAAAATTGTCGTCGGGACGCCACTCATACTTACGTAAACATACATACACACACGTACACTCATCGACATACGCAGACACAAAAACGCACGTTCACTCGACCGAGCTCACACAAGCATAAACATATGTGAACAGTGTGAGATTGGGTATATCTGTTCATATATATATATATATATATATATATATATATATATATATATATATATATATATATATATATATATATACTCATGTGTGTGTGTTTGTGTGTATACGAATGATGCATCTTTAAAAAATGAATACAACAAAAATATTAGTTATATATTTATTAGATATATTCTTTTTGATTTTAGAGTATGTACAGTTACAGACAATATGGAAATAGTAGTCAATATTTCATTGTGACTATGGGTTATCTCGCAGATGTGTATTCAGTTACACACACACACACACACACACACACACACATATATATATATATATATATAGTTTGGGCACCTCGAGGCAGTTTATCGTTTAGCAAGCTTGTCTCGCTAGGACAATTACAACTGAGTAGTGACTTCGAATCTGACTAGGTGCCCCATACTTTCAGCCTTGTGCCACATCTAAGCTACGGTTGGAAAATCACTATATATATCGATAGTTTGCTATTTGAGGATAACGGTCGCGGGATAGCAGACGCAGGTCGTAAGTTCATGATGTGTTCAATGACGTCATACCATGTGAGAGACCGAAATATTAACATATGTTTAGCTGCAATGTAATATATTGTGACTAATTTTAACCGTTATCGTCGAGTAGAAATAACTGAATATCATTTCTGATTTGGAATATCTTTGTTTACATGTCCATATAACCATTGCGAAGATGACTCATGTGACCCGAAATCTCAAATCAAGGAACACTTTAATAAAATATGTTGAACAATTTTTTCTTTATTTTCATTTGAAATTAAAGCAGCCATACGAATTTTAGAAAGGTGATTATTATAAACAAACATAATAGTCATTCATTGCCTGTTGTATTTAACAATATATGTTTAAATAATGATCTGCTGTCCGATACACTAAATATATATATATATATATATATATATATATATATATATATATATATATATATATATATATATATATATATATGTCCATATATTACTTTTTCATACATATTCGATTGAATATTATCAGTATGTTCTGTCTATCAATGTTTTTATGAACGTTTTCAAATTTCGAAATTATTTGTTTTGCAAAATCTGTAAATGCGCTGATGTTCAAATTTAATTTTACTTTATAATATTTTTTGACGATACTATATATATATATATATATATATATATATATATATATATATATATATGTATGTATGTAAATATATATATGTGTGTGTGTGTGCGTTTCCTTACTCATTTTATTTTAATTTTCACACGATTGATGTTTTTTTTTTATTTATTTACAATGTAAATCTCAAAATACATACAGTACGACCTGGTCTTTTCAAACAGTACATTGCTATATTCCACTGATACGAAAATAGAGCTGGATTAAAAATATGAAAAAAAAAGATAAAAAGAAAAGGAACCGGAAGATGGCGGCCAATAGATTCGAAATCAAAGACTGATAATAATACTGTTCCTAAAACTCTCACCTACAAAGTGCACAGACAGTTGAAGGAATCGATTTTTAAATCGAACTGAGGCCTGGTTGTCATTGAATATTTCTTTTTTTTTCTTTTTTCTGTGAAGTGTCCCGCATTCTTCTCTTTTGTCCACTTTCTTTTCTTCGTCATTTTTTTTGCTAGTCTTCCTTGTATCTTTATTTCTTATATGTAAGCACGTTAGATCAACGCCGACTCATTTTGCTTTGAAGTTAACAGACTGCTCTGTCGGTAATGTAGTCAACGATTACTAATCTTAGACCTCATAAGGTAGAGCGTGCACAGAGATTTAAAAATCTGAACGTCGCTTATGAATTAATCTCTTTCTTGGTTTTTCCCTGTCTGCCAATCAGTCTCCTCCTCTATCCTTCCCTTTTTATCTATAATATATATATATATATATATTGTCAGCATGAATTCACCAAAACAAGTTTGGATTAATTTATTAGTCCCTTTGTTGGGTTCCTTTCAAACTAACCATATATATAACCGTATATATATGTATGTATGTGTGTGTGTGTGGAATCTTATTGCACTTGATTTCTTCTATAAAACGGGAAAATGTAGGAACGGCGCAAAATTTAATTTTTTTCTTTTCTGCTATATTTAACGAAAGATGTCACTCTCTTCCTCTCTCTCTCTTTCTCTCTGCCTGTCTGTCTCTCTCTCTCTGTCTCTCTTTCTCTCTGCCTGTCTGTCTGTCTCTCTCTCTCTCTCTCTCTCTATATATATATATATATATATATATATATATATATGGAATCTTATTGCACTAGATTTCTCCAATAAAACGGGAAAAAGTAAGAACGGCGGAAAAATTTAATTTTTTTTTCTGCTTTTTTTAACGAAAGATATCACCCTCTCCCTCTCTATTTCTCCCTTTCGCTCTCCCTCTCTCTTTCTCTCTGTCGCTCACTCTCTCTCTCACCCTCTCTCTCTCTCTCTATATATATATATATATATATATATATATATATATATATATATATATGGAATCTTATTGCACTAGATTTCTCCTATAAAACGGGAAAAAGTAGGAACGGCGGAAATTTTTTTTTTTTCTGCTATATTTGACGAAAGATGTTACCCTCAATCTCTCTCTCTCTCTCTCTCTCTCTCTGTATATGTATATATATATATATATATATATATATATATATCCCCTACACCTTTATGTATATAAGGTGGAATTAGAGACCACGTATTCTCCCAAACTATTCTGTTTAAATTTATTAATCTCTTTCTTGTTTGACAATATTTAGCGATTGCGTGAAAATTAGAAGCGAGAAATAATTAAGGCGAGAAGAAGCTATCACGAAAGACAGACTGGGCGATGTTATTTTTTTTAGCAAAGAAAAGTGGTAAAGATTTTATTTTCATTTGCGAAAAAAAAGTTTGTTTTTTTTTCGCAGAAGTTAGGAAATTCGTAAGATCTCGGATCTGTCGGGATTAATTTATGCTATGTGGCGGGGAATAAAAGATAGCAATCTGACCATGGCAATAATGAAAATTTCAAATTGGTCAAGTGGCCTACAACCGAAATGCTGGAAGATATTCGTAATCAGGTGGAAGATGCGACCGAGAAAAAAGATCAACTGAGCCCACCCCAAAGAAAAAGGATAGAAAAAGAGAAAGAGGGAAAGAATAAACCATTAACTATCTTTCAGAGATATCATTTGGTTTTGGGAAGAGACACCTGTTTTATATCCAGACCTGGACATGATAAAGTTTGTTACCGAGACAGATTGTTGGCGACAGGGTACGAAGACGTTCAGTTGACCACCCATTTAACGCTTGGCGAAAATCACGTTGATAAATTCCAGATGGCATTCAGTTAAGATAGAGATTAAGGCCCACACTACGAGTCCTAGGGGTCTGGTTGAGAAAAAGAAAGAAAAGATAATTTTTTTTCTTTGAGTGATTATTTTAAGCTGAGGACAGACTGGCCCCGCCCACGCTGCCTCGCGTTCATTGGCTGAGTGGTGGCGTGAGCGGTGGGCGAAGGTAAACATGAGAAGGAGGGAAGGCCTGTTGACGCCTTTAAGGGAATTGGTGTGAGACACCACTATGAGAAAGAAGGGAAACCTGTTGACGCCCCCTTGAGGGGATTGGTGTGAGATACCAATATGAGAAAGGATGAATTTGGGAGGACGATTCCCTTAAGAACCCCTCTAAAGCAGAAAGTAATGGATTCCACAAATGGAAAGTGATAAATTTTCCTGTCCGAAAACAAAGAAAATTCTTATTGTGGATTTGGAATCATCGAGGAACCCAAACAACGACAGGCCCCCACCCGGTTTTGGTCGGCGTCCATATAAACTGAGCAGACAGCAGACAGTGGCAGTTAGAGAGACGCAGACGCAGACAGAGTTGAGCTGTGAGCTCAGAGACCAGCCTTGCAGGAAGCTGACTGAAAGATATCCATGCATTCCGACTTAGACTTCTAAACAAAAACAATTTATTTTTGAAGAACGACTTAGACTCACTCCACCAAAACAAGTTTTGCGAATATCGCCCGAAGACACCAAAACCCAGTTTATTGAAAAACAACTTAAGATATTAAGACTCGCCTAACATACGCAAAGTGTCACGAATCCATAGAAGCGGTTTGGGAGAAAGATGCAGTCCTGTATTCAGCAACCAGATATAAAATTATTTGTTTTTCTTTTTTTAATACATTTGAATCTTTCGAGTTTTTACTTTATTTTCTTTTAAATATACTTGTGCGATGTCACCTTTGCTTGAATTCGGCTTGCATTACGGCCCGGCGACTGACTGATTTCGTCTATCTAATATCAAATCACAACGTGGGTAGGTTAGACTAGAAATCAAAGCAGTTACTTCGGTAACCAGACGTTGGAGGCGAGATGGGAACGACAAAGCTGATACCGAATCTAACCAGATTTCCATCCGAATCAGCCGCGACAAATACCAAGTCACATTGGTCGTCACAGGATAGCACGGAAGCAGAGAGGCCGGGGAGACGTTACACTTGGCCTTTACTCCAATCTCTCTCTCTCTCTCTTTATCTATCTATCGATCTATCTATCTGTCTCAGTCTGTTCATAAATATCTATCTATCTATCTCAGTCTGTTCAGATCTATCTCTCTATCTGTCTATCTATCTATCTGTCTATCTATCTATCTCCGTGTGTATAAGAATTATTTAGTGAGCAGTAATTAACTCCAAGATATCTGGTTAAAATAATTAATTCATTACCAGGCCTTTACCTCTTTGTGTCTGTTGATATGTCTCTTTCTCCCTTCTTTCTCTTTCTATCTTTCTTCTTACATGTATATACGTGTATGTGTGTGTGTTTGCATGCGTGATTTTTCAGAATTAACCTGATCACACACATATTTATTTATTATTATATTTTTATTATAAGCTGTTATATTAAAAACATATTGAAATGTCTAAACAGGAACTTTGTTTTTGAATACTATGTTTGAACAGTTATTTACCATCGCCTGAAGGCGTACAATATTGCCCCACATTGTATTGAGCACTATTTACAATTAAATGCTACAAACAGTAGATTTTTACTCCATGTGTTTCTTCTCATATTTGTTTGTATATATATCAGGTCATCTCATAAATTCTGTCCGAATTTTTACTTCTTGTTAAAATGAACAATATTTAAACAGTATTCTCTAATGTCTAATGAAGCTGAATATTCTTTTTCTGTTCAGATGCATTTAAACTGATCAAATTTTATTTCAGAGAACAATAAAATTAAATTTTGTTTGATTAAAAACCTGCTAACATGAGAGTACCCAAGAATCATTTGAGTCACATAATGCTTAATGAGTTCAAGAAAGGAAACTCAGCAGCCGAAGCGGCTAGAAACATTCACTCAGTTTATGGAGAGGAATGTGTGAATGAAAGAACTTGCAGAAGATGGTTTGCAAAATACAGAGGTGGAGATTTCACCCTTGAAGATGAAGATCGAACCGGACGTCCATTTGATTTTGATGAAAAGCTTCTTGAAGCAGACCTTGAAGAAAATCCTGCTTTATCAGTTGAGGAATTGGCAGTGATTCTCAGTTCAAACCATACAACTTTTCATCGTCATCTTCAACAACTTGGAAAAGTTCCTAAACTTGGAAAATGGGTGACATATGAATTTTCTAAAAAAAACATCAAATCTCGAGTTGACATCTGCTCTTCTCTCTATTCTCGCCAACTTGTTTCACCTTTTTTTGGATAGACTTGTTACTGGCGAAGAAAAATGGATTTTTTATCGAAATATTAAGCGTCGTCGAAGGACCCCAATCACGACCGAGAAGGGAACTTCATGGGCAAAAGGTTCTTCTTTCAATCTGGTGGGATCGCCAAGGAATAATCCACTTTGAATTCTTACCACCTAATGCAACAATTAATGCTCAAATATACTGTCAGCAATTAGAGCGTTTGAACCAAGCTTTGAGGAAAAAAAACCTGCTCTAGTGAATCGAAATGGGGTGATGTTTCATCAGGACAATGCAAGAATCACATCACAAAAGATCGAAGAACTTGGTTGGGAGAAAATTCCCCATCCACCTTATTCTCCTGAACTTGCTCCTTCAGACTGCCATTTCTTTCGTAGCTTACAGAATCATTTGGAAGAAACAGCTTTTGTAACACAGGATGAGTTTAAAACTGACATTTGTGAGTTCTTCGAATCAAAGCCAAAATAATTTTACAGTAATGGAATGAGTAAGCATGTTAATAGATGGAAGGAAGTCATAGATAATCAGCGAAAATACATTGTTGATTGAATCTGTAATTAAATGTAACATTTGGTCACTTGTTTTCTTTATTCAAAATTCGGAAAGAACTTATAGGATGACCTAATATATATATATATATATATATATATATATATATATATATATGTGTGTGTGTGTGTGTGTGTGTGTGTGTGTGTGTGTGTATGTATGTGTGTGTATGTGTGTGTGTGTGTGTTATACTGCATGATTTAATTCCATTGTGTATTTCTGTATCACTTAGGGAATTGGGAATCTATTATTTAGATAATTTATCCTAAATTTATTTTTTTCTTTTTAAATACACTATCACTTAATAATATAAAACCCTTATTGTCTAAATACAATTTATTGTCACTCCTATTAGAACATATATGCGGTTTGCACAGTTTGGAATCCCCTAACAGGAACCTAAATTCATTTACAAACAACTAAATGCTTTGGTCATTCAGGCTCATCTCTCATTAGAGTGATACCTCACGACCTCCTCTTGTCACCAACTCTGTTGTATACTTACAGAGGTTACAAACAGACAAAGGTGGTACTCGAGTGAAAAGAACAGCAACAGGTGTAGACGGAAGAAAGAGAGGTTTATTGTAAAAGAGAATACACTACTGAGAGACAGGTAATCGGCTAGCACTTCCCGAAGACACTCTCTGGTATGTTCTTTGCACACTATATATATTTACTGATATAGTCAGTCCACAATAGGCAATAGGGAGAGTAGAACATTCCATTACAATACCTCCAATGAGATAATTTTAGATGATTTTTTTCTAAATATCCTCTTCTTTTTGTGGCCAGGTCATAATTGCTTGACTTTTTTCCTCTTCTTAGTACATTTCTCCCGCACCAATTTTTGTGCTGTTGTGATTTGAGTCTTTAGCGATTTTCTGGGAGCTGATACTTCCGGCACTGGCGGGGTTGGAGATACTTCCATCGATATTGGTGGTGATAAGGGAACTGTTATTTGGAATGCGTCATATATTACCTCCATTGGTAATTCTTCGCTAGGCGTGGCATCTTTCGTATGTCTTGGCCTTAACTGAGTTAAATATCTCTTGCACTCAAATATTCTTCCTTGTAGCATGGATATCATTCTGCCAAGTCTTTCGGTGATAATTCCGTCTTCCCTGAAGCCTTTTCTACCTCTATAGAAGGAAACTCTGTATCCTGGTTTGTAAAATTTGGTCGCAAAGTTTTCTTTTTTTACCCACTCCTTTCGTTGGACGATGCAACAGTCTGTTAAATACTGACCGAATTTATCTCGCGAACATAAGTTCGGCTAATGATAACCCTGAATCTATGTTCGGATTGGGTGTAATTCTATAAACCGCTAAAAACTTTTTTATACCCCTCTCATCAGTGTCCATGCAGTGATTCTTTCTTAAAACTTTTACTGTTTACGAATCTTTCTTCTTGCCCATTGGATCTAGGTTGTTAAACAGAGATTGTAATGTGGCCGATGAACAAAGGAGGTGCAGAACTCCTTATATTCTCTGCTGGTATAATTGTGTTCCGTTGTCAATAACTAAAGTTTTTGGTACACCGAAACCACTGAAAAGCTCGTTAAGTACACTCATAGTTTTTGTGGATGTCGGGTGTCTACACTTCTCCAGTGCCGAGTAGACTTCACCCTCTGTGATCTCCCTCTCTCAGTAGGCCGCTTCAGCCGGGGAAAGTCAGCCAAATAGCTGCGAAACTCGTTGCCACTGAAACAAGACTCCTTGGTAAAACGTCTCACGAAATGCCGCCGAAAGACCTCGCACATGACTTTGGTCGACCTCAGAGTACGCCCCTCCGGTGTAATGACCTCACACACACACACACACACACACACACACACACACACACACACACACACATATATATATATATATATATATATATTAAGCTGAAAATCGAATCATCCTTGATAATGGGTAAAGGTATAGCCGAAAGCGCTCAGAAATATAAAACATTTAGACAGTTCTTACACACCCTTTGTCCAGAAAAGAAAGCTCTTCTCAGAACACATGAAAAATTAAATAAAAATCTTAACCGTAGTACCTTATCTCTCGTTTTTAATGAAACATGCATAAAAGAAGGACTGCTGCCTAAATACACACACACACACACACACACACACACATATATATATATATATATATATATATATATATATATATATATATATGTAATAATCCCTTGGTAAATAATCCATGTGAATCCTAATAATATATTAAAACCATGTCCATCAAAAGATCTCAGTGTTTTTATCATAACAGTATATAAATTACATAAAATAAAATCCAAATTTACCTCATTCGAATACCTATTTCGACCCACAAGGACTTGAAACAGACAAGTATATCTTGTACGACGAAATAGCTATTCGTATGAGGTAAATTTGGACTTTTTAATTTCTGCAATATATATATATATATATATATATATGTGTGTGTCTGTGTCTGTGTGTCTGTGTGTGTGTACGTAGACTACATTTCATAAGTTGAGGATAACTTACAATATTATCAGCTTACAATATCATGTCTCAAAGCAGACTTCGGTGTTCAATTTTTTGTTAATATATATAGTTTGGGAGGTAAAATTATATGAAATAACACAATGCACAAGGTTTGGGTACATTCCATATGAAATAACATTTTTTTTTATTGCAGTACCTCGTTTACCTGGCACTCCAATGGTTGACTCTAACTTTTTCAAGAGGCCTCTATTTTGCAGCAAAAGAGCCCAGAGTCATTATTGGCAATCCTTATGCGTTGTTAGATGAGGAAACACCGCTAAATATATGTTTCGGAATTGGCATTATATCTTTTAGGTTCAGTTATTAAAAATATTAAAAATAATTTCAATTTTGTAGATTCAATCTTAATATAGGCAAGAAATTTATCAAAATTCATTCTCACATTACGTTGTGAAGGTTATTGTTTCAGAGATATAACCAAGAAACGCTAAACCTTCATACACTGCTGTTAGCGCCGCTATTGTGAGAAATATGGAAACATGCACAAATAACGAGATAGCGCTTAGTTCTACCGAAACCCACTTCCAAATCACAAAATAAGTTCATTGGAATCAACATTCTTCGAAACAGGAATGACAGTCCCTCAAATTGTTTCACAAGTAAGTAAAACCGACAGAGCTAATGTGCCGGTATTTAAGAGAAACTCCATGTAGCGGGTCTAAATTAGACGGGCGAATAAACGTAAGTAACTCGTATGGGCGAAAAAACATCAAAACTGGACTGATCACCAATGAAAAGCAGTCCTCTGAACTGACGAATCCAAGTTTGAGAGCTTTGGATCTTGGAGGTGAGTGTATGTGGGTCGAAACTCTATTGAAAGAAGGTTTACTGCTTGTGTTGTGCCAATTGTAAAGCATGGTGGAAGAAAATGATCATCTGGGAATGTTTGTAGGC